GAAGTTGAGGAAGAAGAGAAAGAAGGTAAACGATTTATGCAGTATGCAAGAAATACACTAGATTTTAGAGACTGTTCCGAAAAGATCAAGTGGTATGACAGGAAATCCCATTACCTCGCTGGGGTATGAAAAGTAGTGATTGTCAAACTGTATACTTGTGCTATTGAACTCTGCATTTAGTTCTGTTGGTGGAATGGATCTCGTGACCATTGAACAGTATCAGGTTCCAGACAACTGCGTTGGTTTGAGTAAGTAGAGCAGTGAATTGCAAACATTTTTAGATGAACAGCTTCACGTACTTTGATTTCCCCGCAGTAAATGATAACCACAAGTTTTCTAATTTTTCTTTAACACTTCTCGTGATTAAATGGTTCCAAACTTGCCGTGTCTGGCAATAAACCATCAGTGACCAATATGTGAGCAAAAACAATCATGTTTTCCATTGCATTCACATGTCATCTTTGTAATAATTCTGTTTAACTTAGCAAATGTTTGATTCAAGCATAGAATGTAACGCAGATTCGGATCAAGCTAAGCTCATTATGTCAGGTTGTATATGCTACCGCCATGCTTTTGGTTATTACTGGACTTGCATGTGTGGTCGAATGAAACCTGCTTAAAAGAAACTAAATATGAATCAGCTTCGGCTGAACAAGTAAAATATTATATGAGTTTCTAAGACTTTCTGTCGTTTATATATTGTAAGTTTAACGCAGGTAAAAATTTTTTAGTTATTGGAAGAGGTGGAGAAAGTATATCCGCCATTCAAAACGACTCCGGTTGCCGAATTCAGATGTCCCAGTGTAGTAAAGTACTTTGTACAATTTCTTTCATTTTCTATGCTTTTAGCACCGTATCATGATCATACTGGTAAAGCTATTAGAAACTGCACTTTGACTGGATCCCCGGCAGCAATCGAGTATGAATTTTTATCATAATCAGTGTTTGCAAGTTTGTCATTAAGATGCTTATCACGGTGCATATATTGATGATTTTCTACCACATGCAGGTTAAATTCGCCACTAGAGGTAGATCTAAAAACTCAAAGAACGCTTATAATCTGCTAAGTGTGTTATGAAAGATTTAAATTCTATTTCAGCAATAAAATTTCGTGTCAGTGGCTCTGTATGCAAAAAGCAGACACGGTTGTAGTGTTTATTGTCACATTTACAATTTTGAGTGATTGTAACTATTCATCTTTCTCCATTTTTCCTGAGGACAGCCATTATATTTCAGCTTAAATGTCGACAGTTTCGAAATATCGATGATATCGTTACCCGTCTCTCCTTGTGTGTAGAACCATGTAAACCACAAGATATTGAACTGCGAAGTAGTTAATTCAGAATATGAAGTTTCGGCCGTTTTACCAACAGGACAGTTAATAATTCTGAATATTTCGTTTTTGTATGCATCAGTACTGACCTAGCGTTATAAATTTAATCTGGTCGTATGTAGTTGTTTACGTGGTTGATCAAAACCAATTCTGATGCACTCTCTGTTTGTGCCGCTGTTACGAAAATGAAGCAGTTCCAACTCTGATGGATATCTTAAACGGTGATAAGACGTCTATTATATTAGCAGGCAATTAGCTATTTACTGTTAAGGCTAAATGTAATGTAATGTTTTGTAAAATTGATCACTTTCCTAGAAATGGGGCTAGTTCTTTGCTTTCATTTAGTAGTATCTAAAAGCAAATCGTTATTTTTGTCGTTGAGATTACATGTGCTTGTTTAATAGTGGCACATTCTAGGTATTGCCATTTCGGATGCTTGTTTTCGCGTGATAGCATGATTGGTGTTAGGTTAATTTCAAAATTATTTAAGGAAAGCGAAGAGTCTGATGGAGTCGATCATCACAAAGGCTGGGGAAAGTTTACCACCTTCACGTTCTATGTCATCTGGTAGCAGTTCTGGGCAGAACATGGGTTATTCACCCGGTGCCCCAACCGTAATGCCAGGTTCTTCAATGGGCGCGAAAATGATGACAGCTGAAATGTTAATACCAGGATCCAAATGTGGGTTGGTAATTGGAAAAGGAGGGGAAACTATAAAAAGCATCCAAGAAAGAGCAGGTGTTAAAATGGTGATGATTCAAGATGGTAATCAAGTTTCTTCTACTCCTAAACCTCTTCGAATTATTGGCGAAATGGAAAAGGTTGAAGTAAGGCCTTGATTGTTTTAACGCGTTTTAGTGTTTGAACGCTCTTTGTAGTATGCTAAAAGACTTGTGGATGAAATTATGAATTCGAAGGATGATAGAATGCCTATGTACAATGACTACGGCAGTATGTCTGGAAATAAAAGCACCGGCGAAGTATGCATTTAAATATAAATACAGTTGTTATGTTATTTTCTTATATTCTAGCTGCCAGCGATATCTGGGATCACTGAATAAGAATAATTAAATGCATGCATGATAACTGACTTTCACAACTGATGTGCTGTGACGTTCAGTTTTGCGAGAGATGAGCATTATTTAAAATCTTTCCTTTTCTGCCCTTGAATTAAGCCGTTTAGTTACGTTAAAAAATACATAAGATCTGTAAACACGCTGAACGGTATGTAATTTCTGAATAAATGTGGGTTTCTTAGTTTTTTACACGATTAGTCTAACAGCTTAGATAGCCCTCCTTTTTCCTGTAACGCGTTTATTCATTCTGTTCTTCCATTTGAGTTGTTTCGATTGATTTTGCTTGAAAGTATGAAATAAGAATCGAAGGTAGAAAACCAAGGCTACGGTTTCAACTTAATTCGTTAGACATTATTGTTACATAGTAATTGTTCTCTTATAATTTAATATCTGTGACTCTATCCTGATTTGCGATTTTCGGTCATTGTCCCAAAGTCCGCTGTTGGTGTTATAATTGGCAAAAATGGTGAAGCGATCAGACGTTTGACGCAAGACACTGGTGCGAAAATTCAGTTCAAACTCGGTGGTTCGTGTATAGTAGCAGGTCGCTCATAACGATATTTGTCATTCGCTTATTTCAGAAGACTTCAATGCACCTGAAAGAACTGCGGTTATCACCGGCACAAGAGAACAGATAACGAAAGCAACTGAGCTAATTACGGATTTGGTCCACAGAGCAGTGGTATGAACATTACGTTTCGTCGAAATAGCGATTCTACCCACTATTCCCTTAAATGCCGACTTTACCAAATTTCCTTTGCTTCAGTTCAGAATTTCTTTGTTTCAGAAGAGTTTTTATGACCGCATTTATCTGGTATCTACATCTAAAAATGAAGTTTGCTTCAATCCTTCTTTTACTGCATGTCAGTTTGTTTATCTACTCATAACGGAATTTTTGCACTTCAAACAGCAGAGTCTGCTCCATAGATTCCGTCTTAAGCTTTCTTCTAGTGTTATGCGTTTTATCATCATCTTTAGCCAATACAGGAAGTGAATGCTATTTAAAATTTGGGTCATGACATCACATTTATTTGCTGAAAAATGTTTGGCATGTTATATATGTAGTGGCTTCCTGCTAGTTATAGTTGATGCTCCGCTGATATAAATTCTTTCTTATCATGACCATCGGTTAGAAATCGTGCTATTGTTGTTTTTTCGCTATTGTTGAACCTGACATTTTCATGCATTACACGTCCTTTTTAAATTAGCAAGATTAGTGTTGCAAGTTGGCGTAATAAAGTCAGCTGGGATTGTCATGTCCGGTAAACCCTGCGCTGTTGGATTAGATAGGGCGTAAACTCCAATCCCTATCAGCTTCACGTTGTAGAAAATGTATGCCAGGCTAGCCTCTCAATTCTTTCTCCTTCGGTTTCAGTAGTGACGTTTGGCACATGTCGTACTGAATTATGCTGTGGCAGGAAACGTATTTCGCAGAGAACTTCATTCGCGTTGCTTAAGTTTTTGTAGACATTATTTGCAAAACGTTTTTTGGGCACTTACCTTGTATCTGTTTCACTATTTGTATTGTCACAGTTGTCCAGTTCACATCGATTTTTTTCGCTTAGAATGGCGACGCTGATGTGTTTTACATGCATGTTCCAGCGAATAAAACCGGATTGGTCATCGGCAAAGGTTACTATAGAGAGTGCATACAATTTTGATGAATTGCTGATTCTTCTAGGCGGTGAAACAATAAAACAGATTGCTGCAGAGAGTGGTGCTCGAGTTGAACTTTCCAGAGATCCGGTGCCGAACGATCATGAAAAGGTTTTTGTTATAAAGGGCACTTCTCAGCAGATTCATCACGCTTCGCATTTAATTAGAATTCGAGTTGGTGACGTATGAAAGCTGCTCTTCACACTAAGACTCTTTTCAATCTGCTCCAATTTTAGATTCCAGCTGGTACACCTGTTCCGCCTTTTCCAAATGGCACTGCCGAACAACCGCAGTTCAGTTATCCTCCTTATGGTATATCTAAGGAAAGGTGCCATAAATTGTTTGGATTTATTCCACTTAGGTTCGCCAAGTGCCGCTGCTGCTGATCCAAATGCGGCTGCCTGGGCTGCAGCTTATTACGCTCAGTACTATCAACAAAACGCTGCCGTGCCGGTTTGTTTTGATCAAAGAATTTCTTGTCTTGCATGTCTTGTCTTACGTCTTGTTTTAGTATGGGCAGGCTTATCCCACGCAGACGTCCGCACCAGTAGCTAATAGTCAGCAGCCAGCAGCTAACCCTGCAGTTGCACCGGCGATTAATCCACAAACAGGTTTTGAATATTTGTAGTGTGTCTGTTATAACAAGAGTACTTTAAGGCCAACCGGATTACAGTGCTCAGTGGGCTGAGTACTACCGCTCTTTGGGAATGCATGAGCAGGCGGCTATTATTGAACAACAAGCTAGAGCAAATCAGCAAAGTGGTCATCAGCAGCAAATGCCCGCAGCTCCTGCTGGGCAGGTAATAAATATAAGTTATACTGCTTTTTATACAGCACATGTACTAATATGCATGTTGGATGCATCCATGTGCTTTATAATAAAACAGAAATTCAACATGAGCTATCGATACTTCATTTGATTCAGTACAGGGCATACAATTCACTTAAATTGTGCCAACCATATCCGTAATTAAACCGCGTTCTTCCCGTACCAAAATGTTTTTCATCTACTCATAGTACCTTGAATGCATAGTCACAAGAATTTTATTTGCTAGAATATTTTAAAAGATGTGTCGAACTTAATCTTTATTTGAAGCGTAAAATTAGCCGTGTATAAACAGAATACTGGTTTATACACTTGTTTTATATCGATAATTTAATTTACTTTAAGGAGGTGCGCACTGTTAGAATTTAAACCGTTTCTATCTTTCGAAAGTGGATTGCAACAACTTGTTCTTGCCTTGTACCGTACCCTTGGGTTTTGTACAGAGATCCATAGAATACGAAACTTTGCGCAACTTTCGCTAGTTTCAGGCTCAACTGCTGCAGTTCAGAAGGCGTAGTCCATCCTTCCAGCGCTTATAAACTTTGCAAGTACTTTCATTCGCGCGCGTTCAGTACATGCAGTGCGCATTCTTTTATCTTAGATCTGATGTTTCATGGTGAATTCTTCCTTTGTTTTAGTGTTAAAAGTTTTGCATCGTTTACGTTTAGTCGTTTCTTTCTTCACAAATTCTTCAAAGGTTAACGGAGATTAAACAGCAATGTAACTCACATTTCTGAAGTCTAACCTTTGGAAATGGTGCTTCATGTTGATGTGGCAAAATTCCATACTGTTGCAAAAATAATAACTTTCTCCTCATGTAGATTTGCTTCAAACAGTTTTTTTTGCGTTTTGTATTGTCCATCCCTGTCTGACTGACTGACTGACTGACTGACTGACTGACTGACTGACTGACTGACTGACTGACTGACTGACTTGTCTGACTGACTGACTGACTGACTGACTGACTGACTGACTGACTGACTGACTGACTGACTGACTGACTCTGATTGAATGACTGACTGACTGACTGACTGACTGACTGACTGACTGACTGACTGACTGACTGACTGACTGACTGGGAGTGACTGACTGACTGACTGACTGACTGACTGACTGACTGACTGACTGACTGACTGACTGACTGACTGACTGATAGGGCCAGTGCGTGCTTCTACAGTGAAAAATTTTTAATTATTCCTGTTTCTATACATAAAATTAGATTCCGATATTATGGGTTTACTGGTATACTGAAAGTTTTCATTGCTGCCGTTAGAAAAAGTTTTTTACTACTGGATTTAAACAGCGCATAGGTACCGTCCCAGTTAGTCGGTTTTTAGCTCATGAATGATCACGTATGCAGACTACAACTCCAGGGTATTTGAGCACCTGCAGTACATGGAAGCAAAACCACTTCATTGAACAGATGTCCGAACAATCCTTTGTTTGGAAGTACTGTTTGGTGGAAGTACTGTCTTATGGCTGCGGGCTGCAGGTTGTGTATGTTCCCAGAAATGTTACCAATCAAATGAATGTTCAGTAGCAGTCATTCTCCCCTTTCAATTTCAGTTGAAATTTCCAAAATATTATTGAGTTAAAAGCGTAAATTAACCAAACTGAAATGATTAGTTGAACTAAATAACCGTTACATTTAATTACTAGACAGTCAAAGGTTGTTTAACATTGCCCTGCGATACCATAATTTCTCCGTATTGATTCGTTAAGTGCTTCTATTCGCTTATTCATTTCGGCGTAGAACTAGTGATCAGAAGACGTTGCATTTCCCTTTTCGGCATCTCTTCGATAAGGATGGATGTTTGTTAACTTGTTTCAAAATCTGTTTTTTGGATGCCTTGAACATGTTATGAAAATTGGTGTTTTCTGTTGTTTCTGCTCTTAAATTGAAAGCATTTATGACAATTATGTTATGTAGCGGGGTAACTGACATCTGTATTTTGAAGATGTACTGCCGATAATCTGTTCTTTCAATTTTGCAGTTATTTTGATTTTTACTTCTTTCAGAGTTATTCGTATTCTCAAGCGCAGCCACAGTACGGATATGGGCAGCAACCGACTGGCAACTATCAGTATGCGCAGCAATACTAAGAATCAGGTAAGCTTTTTATCATCATGAGTCTGTGCTGCTACCGTCAATGTAATTATTGATCGTAAATGTCAGCGGTCCGTTAACGATACTCCGGTTTGACCAAAGTAGTGTTTAAAACCAATTACCTGTCAAGTTGATCACTTAATTTTGACTAATTTCAAGATGACCTAACAATATGTATTTGAATGGATAAGAATTGTTTAAAGAAGCCAGTATAAGAGTTTTATCAATAACGATTAAAAGATGTTTCGTTCAAGTTAAGGCAGAAACTTTTCTACAGCTTCTAACTATACTGCCAGTATTAACCCTATGAAGCACCCAGCAGCTTTTCTTACACGGACAGCCGGCATCAGATTTACATAGGTAGGATTGTTTTATTGAAATTTTTCACTGTAGGTTTCGTTGCCGTTTGCCATTGCTGTTGCTGCTTTTATTCATGTCGTATATGGTGGACAATTTTTCATTTCACGTGTACATATTTTATACGGAACACGACTCTGTCAATTTTGCAACTCAAATTATGTGCTCGAAGAATTAATTTTTTTTCGGAAAACGACCGTTTGCGATTGTAATTGAATGCGCTCTGTTATCTGTGAGATTGTCGCTGCTTTTTTCAATTTATATTTTCTGCCTGTCGAATAAATGGTCATTTAAATGTGTTTTAGGCGTGTCACTACTGGGTTTTTCTGGTAAGTCAGAATTTTGCTAACATTGGTTTGTACCATTGTTTCATCTATTTCTACATAAAAAATTTGGCTGATTGTGCCGTTTACAGTTAATTTTGGGTGCTTTTGGACACCCGCACAAGATTTTAATAGGTGTTAATCTAAATGCCTAATTAATGTCAGTGAGGTGAAGATTTATCAAATATCGTTGACATTCGAAGTAAATTTTTTGCTTACTTACCACCGATTTCGTTTTATAGCCTGCATCTGGCTTGATATCTGTCAGTTTCGCTGACCGCGTATCTTTTCGGGTGGTAGAGGCAGACGCGACAGACGATGTTCAACGTTCCTGATCCTGTGCCAGCGTTTGAGCTTCAGCATTATATAGCCTGAGTCTGGAACGGAGTCCGTGGAGACAGTTGCCCCAGGTCACTCCTGACTGTACCCGGGGTCTTCGGTAAGAAAGCATTTGCCGTTTTGTCTTCCTTTCTCAAAGCATTCTTAAGGCAGGCCCAAACCATCACGTCCTTGATTTCTGAGGAAAAGTAGCGAAATGGCGCTCTGAAATATCTGTACTCAGGACTATTTTTAAAGTTCTGAATCATCTCATATGACTCATTTTATCCGTTTCTATCCTGGATTGAAGTTCTGAATCGTGGCCATACGTGAGCATCAATACCGATATCGACTTGAACAGAAATACCGTTGTCTTTAGATTCATTCAGTTCTGCCGTAGTCAAAATGATTCAGGCTAGATCGCGCAGGAATCCTCTCATCATTCCAGTTACTTCCATTTTCCATCAGCTGCAAACACCGAGTCATCTTAACTACTTAGTTTCCGGTGGTTGTCCATTAATTGTAAGAAAACAGTGGACAGGAAAGCGAGAACGCATTAGGCATTTCGTTTTAGACACGTTCGCATGCATGCCAGTCACGTCGCAATCGGTTGTATACCTTTTCAAAGAGAGCTGTAGATCGGTTTCAGATACCAGCAAAACGAATTCGTCTGCAAACGGCAACTTTCTCTTCTTGACATCTGTGTTGATACTCTAATCGCCCTTTCTGCGCCTGACTGGCTACTTGCATTTACAACAGAAACAGAAGACGGGGACAGAGCGCAGCCTTAGTGCTAACACTGAACAGCTTCGACACCTCAATTTGCTCTGTCGCAGCATATGCTGTCAGTATTGTCTTTGGACTGCTTGTTTTTACTGGCCGTGTATCCCAATTGTTTTGTCGGCAAGCCATGGGTTGTTGCGTGGGATCCAGTGCTTAACTTTTTCTCGGTCAACAAACTAGATGTATGTCAGAAGAGCAATCACCCACGATATCAGTGATCTCGCTGATCTGATCAGTAAGGCAAAGATCTAGCTATTAATACTCTAGTCAGGTTTGAAACTACGCTTTTCTTGGATTTTAGAGTTAACGCGGTACCGTCTTTCCATCACTGTTGTGTAGACAGGTTCAATAAGTTGATGCGAATATATTTGTCTTTCTTCAACAGCGATAGTACAACCACAGTTTTCCAGTCCATTAATGTTTTCACCGTAGATACTGCAGTTTGACACGCATTAGCCACAGCATTTCTTGTTCTCTGGAAGATTCAGGCTAATTTCATCTACCATAGTAGTTTTCACTTTTTAGGCTTTTTACAGCTTGCATTACTTCATTTACTGAAAAAGTTCAGCCTTTTACTCCTGCTCTTCAGCTGAATCTTCATGTGATAGCTTGAGATTTGCAACTTATTTTAAATATTTCATCGCCGAAGTATGTGCTGTTTATTGGTAAGAAGTTTTTCTCCGGGACTGACCACTACTCTTTCGGTGTCTGTTACGGCCGAAAGTCTGCCTGAATACTTTTTTTACCATATATGCATTCGACTGCAAATAAATTCTCTCATGAATTAGCTTTGGCTATTCCCACCTATTTTGCTGCCCCCATATGCGCTTCTTAATGCCGCATGCGAGTTGAAGCCTCTTCAGGCTTTTGAATTTATCCATCTAGGTGACAGTCAGTTGAACTTCTTCTCTCTGAAGAGATGTTCGTTTATACCTCCAGTTAGTAAGCCAGTCCTTTTTAAACTGCAACATTCGGCGGCAGGCCCGAATTTCCAAATCACAGATGTCTGTTTAATCTGTCGTGTGATGTAGCTTGCAAGTGTTTTCCTCGTACCCGCGGAATATAGTTTCTCATTTGATTCTGCGGTTTCTTCTGACGTTAAATCTTGTTATGGCACTGTCGTTTACGACGTAGGTCACCATAAAGAGATGACAATGGTTGAGAGAAATGAGTTTCCGTTAAAGCGAATATGCACTGCGGTGCGTCCTAAGTTAGATCATGTATTATCAAATCGATTTTCGACTCGTGAGCGTAAG